GTGTAGCAAAAAGCTTTTATACTGTAGAAATGAGGTCATTTCTTTTGTCTTTTATAACTGGTTAAAGATGAAGAAGCAGAGGAAGAAGAACAAGGAGCAGAAAAAAAGAAGAATAGGTACTTCGAAAAATATTACCTAGTTATCGCTGAATTTAATAGTTTTTGAGAAAATCGAGCTCGAAGTTTTGAACAAAGTGTCGACCGAATAAAGAATCAGCTCAATGTAGTTTACATACATGTAGTTTTGATAACTTGATCTACTGACAATGAGCAATCAACAACCGGTAATTGTCAGATGAAAAATTATTGTCTACCGAATCAAGAACCGGTAATAGATACTTTGGGCTGTTGATTGTCTCTAGAAAAATAATCCACTGAATCAAGGGCCGAAAATTGTCCAAATTCTGATTATTATCGACACATGAGATGTCGTTGCACCAATATAATTAGTAGGTTGCAGATGGAAGAAAAACAACAATGAGCAATCGAGAACAGGTAATTGCCTGTTGAAAAATTGTCTACCGAATTGAGAGCCGGTAACATACGCTTTGAGTTGTTGATTGTCTTTAGTAAAATTATCCACTGAATCCATGGCCGAAAATTGTCGAAATTCTGATTATTATCGTAACACGAGATGTCGTTTGCATAATATAATCAATAGGTTGCCGATGGAAGAAATTCAACAATGAGCAATCAAGAACTGGTAATTGCCTGTTGAAAAATTGTCTACCGAAACAAGAGCCAGTAATAGAGGAAGGCTGAAAAAGGGTCTAAGTCAATACACAGAAGATTACAATCACAGTGAGGAGGAACTCATTCCGTATCAAGAAAAGGAATAGATTGGAACAGTCATGGCAAACACAGTACCCAAGTACAGATAAAATTATTTGATGATGAAGGATTTTCCAATTGGGAATTCAGAATGAAGTTGCTTTTCGAGCATCATAGAGTTTTGGAGACGCTGACAAAGGATCCGCCTAACGAGCAATCATCAAAGTTCAAAAAGGATGTTGTCAAGGCTCGTAACTTGATAGTCAATAGTTTGGCTGATAATATACTCGATGTTATTAGAATTAAGTGGAACATATACGAAGTCTGGCATAGTCAACCAAGTAAGTTTTAAAAAAATACTTAGAACATTAAGATATGATGGAAAAAGTTCCCTAAACAACTTTCTTGTAGAGTATGAGCGCGAACAGTGTTAGAACTATAGAATTGTGGTGGATCAATCCAAGAATCAGAGATTATTATACAGTTTTTATCTGCAATACCTGATACGTATCAAAATGTGCCTACAACAATAGACATTTTGTATTGTCAAGAACACAGTCAAGTGACTTTTGAAGTCATTAAGATTAGACTCTTGATAGAAAAAGAGAGACAAAATAACAATAAGTATGGACCAAAATATCAGGTTGAAGGGTCAAAAGTGTTTCTAGGATATAAAGGAAACTTTAAGCCACAAGGGAACAAATTTGGAAAAAAAAGGAAAATCAAAAGAACTTTCCATTTAGATGCTATGGTTCTGGTAAAAAGGGACACAAGAAGGTGGACAGTCCAAAGTTAAAAAAATTGTAGGGGACAATTTCATTTAGCTGAAAGTAACAATAATAGTGAAGGTTGCATTTATTCCTGAATTTGAATCAGAGGCATGGACATTGGCTTGTTATAAAGCATGAAAAAGTAAAGTTAACTTTGTAGTTACAGCGGTGCTACAAATCATCTTGTTAACTTAACTGTGAGAAAAAATTTGACTAATGTAGAAGAAGTGAATCATCGAATAAGAATAGCAAAGGAGGATGAAGTTATTATAGCAAAAATAAAGGATAATTTGCATGTTGAGGCTAAAAATAGTGGAAAAATTGTTTTAGAGAACGTCCTTGAGTGTGAAAGTTTGACTCGTAACTTATTGTCTGTCAAAATTCTGAAAGAAAAAGGTCTGTGGATATAGTGTTTGAAAATGAAAAGGTCTTGATACAAAATCAAAAGAAAGTACCTACCTATCAGTTATTGGAGAATTAAATAAGAATTTATACACTTTAGATTTATTTTTAAGAAACCCAGAAGTTTAATACAGTAACTGTTGCTGAGCTGAAATTGACAATAAATTATGGCATAGGCGAATGGGACATTCCGCTAAATATTCATATGAAGAAGTTTGTGGAATATACTTAAAAGGTAAGCAAACCAAATATCCCTATGTGACTTTTACTGAAGAGAGAAAAGCAAAGCGAATACTTGAAGTTGTATCTTCCGATGTGTGTGGACCAATAAAACCCATAATGATAAGGAGATATTTTCTAACCTTCATGGATAATGACAGTGATTTCACAGTTTGTTTATTAATGAAGCACAAGAGTAAAGTTTTTGTGCTGAAAAATAAAGTTGTTCCACCTGAAATTTGGTATGAGCGTATGTTCATGTACCAAAAGTAGAAAGATCCAGTAAGTTGGATGAGAGATCAAAATTATTGTTTATCATGGGGATATAGACAATGGATATTGGCTTTGGGACAAAGAAAAACAGAAAATTGTGGTTGCCAAAAATGTTAGAGGAAGAAGAAGAATCACCATTGAAAAACTTTGCTTGGTAAAAGTCAGCAAATACATTTGCATTGATAAAAAAAAACTGAACTATTAAGAACAAAGCTCTAAGCAAGTTTTGACACGGAACCAGAAGATTCCACTTTACCTGAGAAGCAGATTTGTCTACCAATGAGTATAACTTCACAAAGTCAAAGTTGGAGGACATACTGTAGTGTCTAGGTTTTGTAACAGTCTATTTCTATCATTTTGTACCAAAAATAAACATAGAGTTTAAGATTTTTAACTTTAGGCAGGCTAAACAGAATAAATCAGAGAGCATTGAAGAGTATTATGTTCGTTTACTGAAATTAAGTACAAACTGTGGTTTCTCAGATAAAAATAGAGAAATTCAGTGTACTACATCTGCTAGGTTGAAAAAGTATGGCCTTGCTGGAAACCCCTAATTAGAGAAACTCTTAGCTCAAGCAAAAGCCTACGAGTTGACTGAAACTTAAGCCCAACAAATGGAAATGTCAAAACAATCTAAAGTTGTTTCTAGAATAAACAAAAAAAAAACAAAATTGGCCGAACCCATAACAACACGAATTCTCGACCTAACAAAGAACAGAACATGTAGAACATATGCAAAAGTTTTTGGGGTGAAGCCTTGAAAACAGCTGTAGTACCTATATCTAATAAATAGAACTCCAACGACAGTGCTGGAAAATAAAGTTGTTCCAGCTGAAATTTGGTATGTTTATAAGCCTAATTTAAATAAAATTAAAGTATTTGGATTTAGAGCGTATGTTCATGCGTTTGGTTCATGCACCAGAAGTAGAAAGATCCAGTAAGTTGGATGAGAGATCAAAATTATTGTTTATCATGGGGATATAGACAATAGATATCGGCTTTGGGACAAAGAAAAACAGAAAATTGTGGTTGCCAAAAATGTTAGAGGAAGGAGAAGAATCACCATTGAAAATCTTTGCTTGGTAAAAGTCAGCAAATACATTTGCATTGATAAAAAAAAACTGAATTATTAAGAACAAAGCTCTAAGCAAGTTTTGACACGGAACCAGGAGATTCCACTTTACCTGAGAAGCAGATTTGTTTACCAATGAGTATAACTTCACAAAGTCAAAGTTGACGGACATACTGTAGTGTCTAGGTTTTGTAACAGTCTATTTCTATCATTTTGTACCAAAAATAAACATAGAGTTTGAGATTTTTAACTTTAGGCAAGCTAAACAGAATAAATCAGAGAGCATTGAAGAGTATTATGCTCGTTTACTGAAATTAAGCACAAATTGTGGTTTCTCAGATAAAAATAGAGAAATTAAGTCCCAAATAATCCACTACATTTGCTAGGTTGAAAAAGTATGGCCTTGCTGGAAACCCCTAATTAGAGCAACTCTTAGCTCAAGCAAAAGCCTACGAGTTGACTGAAACTTAAGCCCAACAAATGGAAATGTCGGACAATCTAAAGTTGTTTCTAGAATAAAAAAAAAAAAAAAATTGGCCGTACCCATAACAACACGAATTCTCGACCTAACAAAGAACAGAACATGTAGAACATATGCAACAGTTTTTGGGGTGAAGCCTTGAAAACAGCTGCAGTACCTAAATAGAACTCCAAAAACAGTGCTGAAAAATAAAGTTGTTCCAGCTGAAATTTGGTATGTTTATAAGCCTAATTTGAATAAAATCAAAGTATTTGGATGTAGAACGTATGTTCATGCGTCTGGTTCATGCATCAGAAGTAGAAAGATCCAATATGTTAGATGAGAGATCAAATTTATTGTTTATGATGGGATACAGACAATGGATGTCGGCTTTGGGAAAAAGAACAGAAAATTGTGGTTTCTAGAAATGTAAAATTTAACGAGAATAAAAAGGATATCATAGATCAGAACATTGAAAGGCAGAATAAAGAATTCCAAAAAGTGACAGATTAAGAAATCAATAATGATGAGGAAATACAAAGTATAAGAAAAAAAACTGGCCAAATCCAAGAGAGAGAAAAATGAATCAGAAAATCAAACTGAAATTGACAATAATGTAACACGAAAACGATCAAAATGACATTGAACTGATGGCAGCACTATCAGTAGGCATATCATCAGACATACCTGAAAATTATGATAGAGCTATTGAAGGAGGAGAAGGTTGGCAGAAAGCCATACAAGACGAATTAGACTCACTTGTCCAGAATGAAACATGGGAAATTATTCCAAAACCAAATAATGTTGAAATTATAGATTCGAGATGCATTTTCACAGAAAAAGGAAGAGATGGAAAATTGATATAGAAGGCAAGACTTGTAGCAAGAGGTTTTATGTAATCAGATTGGCAAGAAATAGGAAAAGCAAGACCACAAATAGGACTAACAGATGAAATCATTGAAATAACTGATGAGTGATGAAACAAGATTGGAGAAGAAAAAGATGTGATAGTTCATTAAATACCCAAAATATACTCACGTTAATAATCCAGGATTATCCGTCGGATACCACGAGTACTGAGGGAGGTAGTTATGCGTAGCTGGATGGGGATGGGGCGCCGGATGAGGAGGATGCGCGTGTATTGGTTGCTGAGGTTTCACGTCCCAACCGCCGACGGGACTCGGCGCCGGCTGTCCCGATATATCGGAACCGGGAGTCGAACTCGGCGTAGGACTAGGGTGCTGCATGTAACCGCCTGTCGCTGGCGAACCGCTCGACGAACCTCCACCACCTGTAACAAAAGAGAACACATACAGAATAACATATATTTTAGATGAATTTTTATTTCCTATACAGACAGAGCTTATTTGGAAACTTCAAATAGCTGAATCAAAGAAAATCTTAACTTGTCTATTCTTGAAGGTCTATTCAAAAGTTTTCACCTTGGAATCACCTCAACTTCAACAAACTTAAGGTCATTTGTATCATGTTGAATGAGTAATTCTATAGATTAGAGAAAACTCCACCTCATATTACAATGGTATAAAGTTGATGTCTGTGAACATTTTAATATCAAGTCTTACTTATTTAGCTTTTAGTGGCACCAATACAGATCTATTTTGAGTCATCGGTTCCATACATTTTGATATCAACGTTTCAATAAACAATCTAATTTTAATTTAGCTGATTTTTAATACGTCGAGAAACCTGATTCATAAACATTGGGGACAAAAATCTAATTGTCAGTAACTTTGATTGTGAGCAAAATTTAAATTTATCAGAAGCTATAAGCTAGAATTTCACGATAAGCGAAATGACGAATAGGTAAGTCAGCATAGACAACAAAAATAACACTTGCCGATAGCGATTGTGGAAAATAAGCACATTTGAATGATAAGAAAACAGTCCTGTAATGCAAAAAAGTGAAACTTTGACTTTGAAATTTCAAATGATTATTGAAAATAAATCATATTTCTTCCTTTGTATTAGAACAATATGTAAGATGTTTTAGGATTTTCCAATTCACTCCTGGACCCTTATTCTCGAAACAGGGGAGAAGAGTTCTCATGAAAAGGAGGGTTCTGTCTTAGTCGCCCATAGTTATGTTTCTATAACACTGACAAAGACAAAGCAATTGTTCTCGTGAGAACGCTATTCCCCAGGGGCCGGATCCTCGAGCCAGGGAGTAGAGCTCCCCGATAGAACGAATGTTTTGTCCTTGTCAACGTTATCGAAAAGTGAACAAGAATGATAAAGACGAAAAAATTTGTTCTCTCGGGAAGCTCTACTCCCTGGCCCGAGGATCGGCCACCAGGTTGGAGAATAGACATCCTGGAAGCTTTCAATTCTTAATAATTTCCTTATACTCTTTGTTCTTTTTTCTGTCCAAATTCTTCCATTTTGCATCATTTTGTCTATTTACTTTTTGTGGCACTAGGAACACTCTAATTTTTCAAGATGTTGAATAATAGGGGAAAATGGGTCAGAGGCTTTTTCTACCACTGCAATCTTGATCAATTGGACCAAGAAACAAATTGGACACCTTTCATCATCAAAGGCTCATGTCTAGTGCAATAGTAAAATGCCTTTCAAAGAATGCTGCAATCAATCTCTAGTTACTTTCTGCCTACTATGGTGTCCGTTTAGGTTAGTTCACTACAGTCTCTAATCAGCTCTTTTTTTTCCAATTTTTGTTGTTTTACTTTTTGATCAATAACTTTATTCTTGTTATCCTTTGAGCAGAACAAAAATAGAGTAACCCAGAGTGTGATTGATGATCGATAATCTATCAACCAACACCTCTTGACTATGAAAACTTTGCTAGGAATTTCATTACCAAAAAAAAAAGCCTTCTACTTTACAGGCTCATTAACTTGAACTGAGATGCGTGCATGATAAAAAAAAAACCTAATTAATCCCCATAATGCATTGTTTCTGACACTTCGTGTAAAAATGCAACTCCATCTACTAATAAATACGATATACAAGAAGCATTAATAAGCTGCCGAGTAATTTGTTAATTAATTATTTGTGTAATGTGATACGTTTCTTTCTTTCATTGGTCTATAGCGTTGGCTGCGTGATAACAGATCGTATAGTACGACGGTCTCCTATTGGGCGTGTGCTTTTTGTATTTTAATTAATGAATGAAACACCAGGTAAATTCAAAGTGAAAATTTTACCTTCGAGTTTGATCCTACCTTGCATCATATTTTGGCTTTGCGGTCCCGGACTCGTCGACGGGATGTTACCATTGCCGCCCAGCAGCGCCGAATGCGAATTCGAGTTTCCGTTGTTGTTTGTACTTCCAGGTACTTGGGCCGCTTTCATCATTTTCTTGTATTTACTTCTCCGGTTTTGGAACCAGATTTTCACCTGAAACAAACAAAGAGAATATTTCAATATAGGCTCTATTGCTGGAACATTTCTGTATGGTTATTGACCATGGACTTTGTTTTTAATTTTATCAACGACAACGGTTTTATTCATTAGAAAAAGTCCTGACATGTAAGTACTTATTCAAGAAGATGAAAACATTTCTATCATCATAGGGGAATTGAGCTTCACGTATAATAAACTAAAAAGAACTGATCAGTGAAAAATATCACATTTTCTGCTACTGGAGAAGGAATAGAAAAGTTTCAGAATGAAAGAGAGCACGTCCATTTAACAATGGTATTCTCCGAGGTCAAAATCCGTTGTTGTCTAAGAATTCCATAAAATCTTCTGGTGAAATGTTAAGGAATTTCTATGGAATTACTTGAAATTTTCGGGGAATTCCAATGGAATAACTTGAAATTTTAGTGGAATTCCGAAGAATTTCATGAAATATCATAGTGTATTTCCGAGGACTTTTTGTTCAAAAATTCCATTGAATTTTATTGTGGCATTCCATGATATCTTGTGGTGAAATTTGGAAAAATATTATGAAATCTTATAGTTTTTAGGAATTTCCATTTTTCCATTCAAATTTACCATTTGAATGCAATTTCGAGGAATTCCATAAAATCTTCTGGTGAAATTCTAAAAAATTTCTATGAAATTAACTAAAGTTTTCACGGAATTCCCATTGAATAACTTAAAACTTTAATGGAATTTCGAAGAATTTCATGAAATCTTACATTGTAATTCCGAAGAAAAAAAAATTCCAAGAATTCCATTGAATTTCATGGTGTGAAATGTGACATGTGAAATTTTTGTGAAGTTTCCATAGAATTCACATTGAATTTTAGTTCCTCTCGAATTACATGAAATTTCAAGAAATTACATGAAATTTCAGTGGAATTTCGATCGATATACATGAAATCCTAATTGAGTTGTATGAAGGAATTCTAAACAATTACATTAAATTACACCGAAATTCCCAATATGAAATTTCAGTGCTCGTTAAATAACATAAAGAATTTTGAAAAAGTTTCAAAAAATTACATTATTCCGAGGAATTTTCGTCGAATTATATGGAGCTCCGATGCAATTGTATGGATTTCAAAGGAATTGTCAGGAAATTACATGAAATTTAAGTGGAATTTTGAACAATTCTTATCGTTTCATAAGGAATTCCAGTGAATTTCCAAAAAATCCTAATGTAATTACATGAAGTTTTATTTTTATTCCCAGGAATTGCCAGTTAAAAATATGGCATCTTAGTGAAATTGAAATTCCGAAAAATTCCCATCGAATTAGTGAATTTTAGTAAAATTAGAGTGGAATTCCGAGGAATTTCCAGCTGAAAACTTGGAATTTCGTTGAAATTTGGAAAAAATTCCCATGTAATGATATGAAATTTCGATATATTTCGGAGGAATTTCGGTGAATTTTTAAGAAATTACCTACTTGAAATTTCATTAATATCCCAGAAATTCCTGACAATTGAAAGAGAATTTTAGTGAAATTCCGAGAAATTCTTATGGAAATAAATGAAATTTTGAAAACAATTTTGAAGTTTCATTGGAATTTCGAGAAATTTTCGACTAATAACGTGGAATTTGTGTGAAATTTCAAAAAAATCTCATAAAATTTTAGTGAAATTCCGAGGAATTCCTAAGAAACTACAGGAAATGTCAGTGAAATTCCGAAAAATTTTATGAAAATTTTGTGGAATTCCAGGATATTTCAGTGGTGAAGTTTTGAGGAATTTCAGTAAAGTTTTAAAAAAATTATGGAATTTGGAATTTCTATAGAATTATGGAGAATTTTAGTCGGATTTCGACAAGAAAAAAAAATTATGAAATATTCGCAGAATTTCCATCAAATTATATATAATTTCACTTTGTGTCGACTTACATAAAATTTCGATGAAATGTCGAGTAAAATTGTAGGGAATTCTCGTCCAATGGAATTCCTTGAAATCTTATTGTGGAATTCCAGTGAAATTACACGGAATCCGAAGAAATTCCCTTGGAATTAAACAGAATTTCCGTGGAATTTTCATGGAACCACGAGTAATTTCAGCGGAATTCCGAAGAAATGGATTAAATTTTAGTGAAATTCTGAGTAATTTCTGTCGAATGACATAAAATTTTAGTGGAATTCCGAGAAATTTCATGAAATCTTTTACTGTAATTTCGAGGAATTTTTGTACAAAAATTCCATTGAATTTTATGGTAGAATCTTATGGTGGATTCGGAAAAGTATTATGAATTCTTATGGTTTTCTAGGACTTTCTGTTTTTCTATTCAAATTTGTCATTTGAATGGCATTTCGAGGAATTCCATATAATCTTTTAGTGAAATTCTAAGGAATTTCTATGGAATTAACAAAAATTTTCGCAAAATTCCCATGGAATAACTTGAAATTTTAGTGGAATGCCGAAGAATTTCATGAAATCTCATAAGTAGTGTAATTCCGAGGAATTTTTGTCCAAGAATTTTATGGTGGAATTCCATAGAATCATATATGATGAAATTCGGAGAAGTATTATGAAATCCTATAGTAAAATGTCTAGGAATTTCCGTTTTTCCATTCAAATTTGTCATTTGAATTTAGAATCTCTAAAAACTTTTCAAAAACCCCTAAAATGCAACAGAATCACCTAAAATTTTGAAAATCTAAAATCTTCTGAACTCCTGTAAAATCGTGTAAAGATTTTCAAAATTCCCAAAATCCTACAAAATCAATTAAGATTTAAAATATGTGTTCATTATATTTTATAGAGTTAACTAAACCTCGGAGCAGTTGATTGGTCAAAATCTGTTACAAGTCCAGAAAAACTTGTAAGATATATTTAAAATCCCTGAAAATCTTTAAAAATTTAACAAAACCTCACAAAATCCCTTAAAAATCACTTGAAATCGCATAAAATTTCACAAAATCACACAAAATTTTACTAGAACAAAAAAAAAATCCGGCAAAATCTTATAAAATCATTAATATGTATTCCTAAAAAAAAATTCCTTCAAAATTTCCAAAAATCCTTTGGAATCATTTTATGGAGTAAACTGCGGCTAATTGATGAAAATTTGTATAGGTACAAGTTGGTCAAAATCCCAGAAAAACTCGTAAGATCTACTTAAAATCCCAGAAAATCTTTAAAATCTTTAAAAATCTAACAAAATTTTATTAGAACAAAAAAACCAGCAAAATCCTATAAAATTCTTAATAAAAAAATTCCTTTAACATTTCCAAAAGTCTTTTGGGATCCCTAAAAATCCGTTAAAATCTCTAAAAATCCTTCTAACTTCCCTAAAATGCTCCAAAATCACCTAAAAACTTTTAAAATCCTGTAAAATCATATGAAGATTTTCAAAATCCTCAAAATCGTACAAAATTAATGAAGATTTAAAATCTGTGTACATATTTTGAGGAGTTAACCACCCCTCGATATTCGCTATACCAATGTTTTCTGCAGAATTCTTTATCAAGCCAAAGGAGGTGTATAACATGTAGAAATTGTGGCAACCAGTGGCACATGGTAAACAAGACTGTCCAGCCATCAGGTTCAAGTACCTACTTACTGAATTACACCCTTACATACCGCGGTGATCACTTTGGCGCACAAAATAGGGGCAAAATGTATAAAACTAAAGTTAAAATGATAACAAAGAATACCTAAACTAGAGTTAGTACGATAACAATATGTTCCACGTGATGGCAGCAGGTTCAATCAACCTGGTTGATCTTGGTTACAGGTGGTAGCTGGTATGGTCAAACCAGTCATAAGGTTCAACAGTATAAACAAAGGTAAAACCAAAACCGTCCATACAAAATGTGTAGGTTCTGGTAGAGGCAGCCTTACAACTGTGTAGGCTCCGATGGAGCTTAAACGTATAGCCTTTAGTTTAAAGGGCTGCATGGCCGTATACTTAAATTTGTGGCAGTACAAAAACCCTGTTGGAATTTCCCTCGAAAATACTCTTATCCGCTAGATTAGTCTGGATTGGAGTTCCTGGGTAGAATAATAATATGGTAGTTTCTAGGGCAGCTTTTCACGAATAGATGCTTGTAAAAATCCGAAATCATCGGCGAAATTATAGCACTTCACGAAAACGTAACGCAACGTAAGGCAACTCAATGTACCATAAATTGAATAATTGAGAATTTTAAGTTCAAAATCCCTCAAAGGCGAAGACAAAATTTAACTTCTGCAGAATTACCTTATTTCTCGGAATCACCAAACGTGAAAGAAAGATGCACCACAGGGAATTAATAAGCTGTCCTAGATTTGAGGAATAGAGATGAGGCAAGGTAACGACAAATGACAAAAATTATTCGATAAAAAAAGGTACCAAAAATTGCACACAACAATATAATCAGAGAAAAATGACAAAAGCTAATGACTAATGATAATAACAATAAGTAATTATCCAATAGAACAATCATAGTTTGAAAAATACCTCATTGGGTAAACAATTCAAGTTGTAAAACGTAAACGCTTACATTGGAATCGATGATTCTGAAAACATTACTAATCAAAAAGCTAATTGACAAAAGTGAACGACATTTCTGCCGTCAGCTGGCACACAAATCATGACTGACATAACTTAAGTGTCACCATAAAATAGAGAGCAAAGAGAGCAATCCGGTGGTTTATGGAACCAGATTCCGGAACTTAATCTGGTACTGAGTTCAGCAACCAAACAGAGTACGTGCAGCATGCAGTACACTTCGTGAATGGAAAACCTAACCCAAGAAATATTAATAAGATTTGTTTAGTTTTTTTTTTTTTTAAATTAAATAGCAAAATTGAATATTGATTAAAATCGAGGAAAATCATTAGTTCACAAGAACTACTCACAAGTAAAGATAGAATTTAAATAATAAAGATGAGAAAATGTTCAGGATCTGCAACTACTGGAATTATTGTTGAATTTTTATAAAGGAAAAATGTAAACAAAGCCTGATAAAATCAGGGAAAAATTAAATATCTATAAGAATTT